CTGACTCAGGAATTCTGGGAGTTGAAGTCCACGAGTCGTAAAAGAGTCAACGTTGCCTACCCCTGATAATTGTTAAGGGGATCACTTGGTTAAGTGAACCCAGCTTCCCCCATTGACTTTGCATCTCGGAAGCCAGCGTTGGAAGGTTGCAAGCAGTGATCACATGACCCCAGGAGGCTGCAACCATTGTAAATACATGCCTATCGCCACGTGCACAAATATTGATCACAAGACTGTTGGCGTGCTACAACGGTCATTAAACAAATGGTTGTCACTCAAGTGATTCACTTACCTGCCTATATCTAGCTGTATTGTTGCAACAATGCACTGTTGATAGCCAAAAAGAACGATTTGCAGATTATTGTATTTGATTCAGAATTAGAAGTTGTTCACCATCTATTCTGGGCCTATTGCAGATGAGATACCTAAACCTGATAAATATTAAATTAAATTAAAGGGTTCCCTCCGCAAACTTCAAACAGCGTTGGGAAAACCTTTGTTCCAAAGTTCATAATTTCTGAGTGACAGAAACAAATATCAGAGCTATGAGATCAAACCGAATTTACTTTCTGCCTGTGAAGTTTGAATTTGTGAATTTGACAGGTTGTTTTAAAGGGCACGGGCACATAAAATAACATGAAAAGAAAAGAATTCTTATAGCTAAGCGAGAGTTGAGGGTTACCTGTCAGAAACTGTTAGGAGTCGGCTGCATTCTCTCTTGAAGCGTGTCCTTTCAGTTGTCAGTTTTAAAAGGTTAATACCGAATAAAAGAGCAGTGAAATTAACCTTCCATTGTGTGGCTGGGCGCCTTCCCTTTCGAAACAACAGGTTTGCAGAATAAAATAGCTGATTTTCTAAATTGCTATTTATTGCACTCTTGTCCCCAGCCTCTTTTTTTTTTTTTTTTTTTGCTATTGTGAAGTTGCTACTAAAATGGAAAAATCCAGTTTATGAAAAATTTCTTGGCAGAAATCAAAGAATAAGTGACTTCTTCTAAGCCAGTGGTTCTCAACCTGTGGGTCGGGACCCCATTTGGGGTCGAACGACCATTTCACGGGGGTCGCCAAGCAACGCAGTCCGCCATTTTTTCCCCCCTTTTCCTTAGCTGTGCTACTCCCTTTTATTCTATTGGCTTTTGAAAGCCAATAGAATAGACTCTCTTGAATAGAGTCTAATTCTATTGGCTTTCAAAAGCCAATAGGAATTGTCCAGGCTGTCTCTGCCCTGCTGAGACCGCCAAAAGTCCCATTCTGCAAATGGTGCTGCACCAGTTGAGTAGTCCTCGACTTATGACCGGTTGAGTAGTCCTCGACTTACGACCGGTTGGGGGGGTCACGGCATTAAAAAGGTTGAGAACCACTGTTCTAAGCCTACAACTGAATAGCACTAGAACTTAGACTTATATACTGCTTCATAGTGCTTTTACAGCCCTCTCTAATGGTTTACAGAGTCAGCATCTTGCCCCCACCACCACCTAGGTCAGTGGTTCTCAACCTTTTTAATGCTGCGACCCCCAACTGGTCGTAAGTTGAGGACTACTCAACCGGTCGTAAGTCGAGGACTACTCAACTGGTGCAGCACCATTTGCAGAATGGGACTTTTGGCGGGCTCAGCAGGGCAGAGACAGCCTGGACAATTCCTATTGGCTTTTGAAAGCCAATAGAATTAGACTCTATTCAAGAGAGTTTATTCTATTGGCTTTCAAAAGCCAATAGAATAAAAGGGAGTAGCACAGCTAAGGAAAAGGGGGAAAAATATGGCGGACTGCGTTGTTTGGCGGCCCCCGTGAAATGGTCGTTCGACCCCAAATGGGGTCCCGACCCACAGGTTGAGGACCACTGACCTAGGTCCTCATTTTACTGACCTCGGAAGGATGGAAGGCTTGAGTCAACCTTGAGCCGCTCAGTATTGAACTCCTGGCAGTAGGCAGAGTTTGCCTGCAATAGTAATAGCAATAGCACTTAGACTTATATACTGCTTCATAATGCTTTTACAACCCTCTCTAAGCAGTTTTACAGAGTCAGCATCTTGCCCCCAACCATCTGGGTCGTCATTTTACCAACCTTGGAAGGATGGAAGGCTGAATCCACTTTGAGCCGGTCAGGATCGAACTCCTGGCAGTGGGCAGAGTTAGCCTGCAATACTGCATTCTAACCACTGCACCAGCACAGCATACACCCTGTGCACATACAATTCAATGCTCTATGCAAAGCGAAGGTAGGAAGAATGCCATTGAATTGTATGTGCCCTGCTCACTTGACACACATATGCACGTGTCATTGGTCACTGGACAATGGACACAGGGTGTATTCAGTTGTGGGTTTAGATTTACAGGGGTAGGCAACCTTGGCTCTTTTATGACTCGTGGACTTCAACTCCCAGAATTCCTGAGCCAGCCATGCTGAGGAGAAAGGGAAAGGTTTCCATGCTGAGCCATGCCGGCTCAGCAATTCTGGGAGTTGAATTCCATGAGTCATAAAAGAGCCAAGGTTGCCTACCCCTCTGTTTAGAACAAATCACTAACTCAATAGTAAAAGAGTGGGTTACTCTTCAGTTAAGCGAACAGGAGAGATTTGTGTATGTTCCAATCCCTTCTGGCATTTGTAGCGCAGCTAGTCCTCAATATACGGCCACAATGGAGCCCAAAATTTCTGTGGCTAAGCAAGACATCTGTTAAGTGATATTTGCCCCATTTTACTACCTTTCTTGCCACGGTTGTTAAGTGAATCACCGCAGGTGTTAAGTTAGTCACACACTTGCTAAGTGAATCTGGCTTTGCTTGTGAGAAGGTCACAAAAGGGCATCCCGGGGCGCTGCAACCAATGGTTGCAAGTCGAGGACTATCTGTGGTAAAATATACACCTGGGCTTTCAATAGTTCGCTTAGTGACTGTTCAAAGTTACAACGGTGTTTTAAAAACTGACTTACGACCAGTTTTCACACTTACAATCATTACAGCATCCCCATGGTCACATGATCAAAATTCAGATGCTTGGCAACTGACTTATATTTATGACGGTCGCAGTGTCCCGGGGACACGTGTGATTCCCTTTTGCGACCTTCTGACCCGCAAAGTCAACGGGGAAGCTGGATAGTAGTAGTAGTAGTAATAGTAGAGTTGGAAGGGACCTTGGAGGTCTTCTAGTCCAACCCCCTTCTTAGGCAGGAAAGCCTATACCATTTCAGAGAAAAGGATTCCCTTAACCTGGGGCAAGAAAGGTCATAAAATGGAGCAAAACTCACTGAGCAACTGTCTCGCTTAGCAACAGAAATTGAGGACCACCTCGATCAATTTCTTTAATGAATAAAATAAATACATGCCTGTTGCCAAGCAACCAAATTTTGATCACGTGACCGGGCGATGCAGCAATACTCATCAGGACTGGTCTTGTAATAATAGTAGTAAAGTTGGAAGGGACCTTGGAGGTCATTTAGTCCAACCCCCTGCTCAGGCAGGAAACCCTATACCATTTCGGACAAATGGCTGTCCAGTCTCTTCTTAAAAACTTCCAGTCTTGAGTCCCTTTTTCTTCAGCACCATCATAACTTCGAACGGTCATTAAACAAATGGTCGTAAGCCGAGGACTACCTGTCATTTGGTCCAGAGGTCCCCAACCTTTTTGGCACCAAGGACCGGTTCCGTGGAGAGAGGTTTTTCTGCGGACCGGAGAGGGTGTGGTTTTGTGTGCTGTCTGTATCCCGTGGATGGGGCTTTGTTTGTTTGTGTGGCCCAGTTGCTGGCATGCCGCAGACCGGGGGTTGGGGACCCCTGATTTAGTCCAACCAAGATGGATGGATGTTGTGGAGGTGCCTTTCCCCTCCGTCCCCAGGTATTGTTGAAAAAATCAAATCCTGTTACAATTGATCTTTTTGCAGAAAATTTTACTGTAGTTGTAATTTCTCCAGGTGGAACAGAAAAGGAAATACAACGATCAACACTCAAAAGCCAGGGGTCTTCTGACAGGAAGCCAGTGGTACGAAATCCAGGCCTACAGGGCTCTGAACCAAGCCCTTGGCAGGTGAGGGAAGCTATTCAGTCAAAGTTCGGCCTTCAAATATGGGTGAGTGAAGGTTATTCCTTCAACTCTCCATCCTCAAAGTCTTTGGGGGGGGGCTCTGTTGACCAATCCTTAAAGCAAACACTGCTGTCAACTTGGAACTTAGATTTTAGCAATAGCGCATAGACTTATATACCGCTCCACAGTGCTTTACTGATTTACAGAGTCAGCATCTTGCCCCCAACAAGCCGGGTCCTCATTTTACTGACCTTGGAAGGATGAAACCATCTGTTGCACTCTTTTTTTTTCTTTTTTTCTTTTCTCTCTCTCTCTCTCTCTCTCTCTCTCTCTCTCTCTTTTTTTTTTTTTTGCTATTGGGGAGTTGCTACTAAAATGGAAAACTCCACTTTGTGAAAACTTTCTCGGCAGCAGTCAAAGAATCAGTGATCTTCTGAGCCCACAACTCAATTGCACTAGCACTTATATACTGCTTCATAGTGCTTTAACAGTATTCTCTAAGCAGTTTACAGAGTCAGTTTCTTTTCCCTAATAATCATGGTCCTCATTTTAGTGCCTTCAGAAGGATGGAAGGCTGAGTCAACCTTGAGCCGGTCAGGATCGAACTCCCGGCAGTGGGCAGAGTTCGCCTGCAATAGTAATAGCAATAGCATTTAGACCAGTGGTTCTCAACCTTTCTAATGTCGCGACCCCATAATACAGTTCCCCATGTTGTGGTGACCCCCAACCACTTATACATCGCCGGATGCCAGGGGCGTGGCCAAAGAAAAGGGGGAAAAAGTGGCGGACAGCCTTGTTTGGCGACCCCCGTGAAATGGTTGTTCGACCCCAAATGGGGTCCCGACCCACAGGTTGAGAACCACTGATTTAGACTTATATACCACTTCATAGTGCTTTTACAATACTCTCTAAGCCAGGCATGTCAAACTGCCGGCCTGTGGGCTGGATGCGTCACATCGAAACCACGCCCACCCCATTGCCGCCAAAGTCCCGATACGTCGTGCGACGTCACGTGATGTCGGGAGTTTGACGTGCCTGCTCTAAGCAGTTTGCAGAGTCAGCATTTTCCCCCCAACAACCTGGGTCTTCATTTTACTGCCCATGGAAGGATTTAAGGCTGAATCAACCTTAAGCCAGTCAGGATCGAACTGCTGGCAGTGGGCAGAGTTAGCTTGCAATACTGCATTTTAACCACTGCGCCACCATGGCTCTTTTAACGTTTGAAATCCAAAACCTCTTGGATGCTTGCTTGTTTCTTTGTTTGTATCCTGCCTTTATTTTATTTTTTTTAACAAATAACTCAAGGCAGTGAACCTATTCAAAACACCTTCCTCCTATTTTCCCCACAACAACAGCCTTCTGAGGTGGGTTGGGCTGAGAGAGAATGACTGGCCCAAAGTCGCCCATCTGGCTTCCAGGCCTAAGTCAGGACTAGAACTCACCCTGTCCTGCCTTCTAGCTTGGTGCCGTAACCACTAGACCAGGGGTAGGCAACCTTGGCTCTTTTATGACTCGTGGACTTCAACTCCCAGAATTCCTGAGCCTGCCATGCTGAGGAGAAAGGGAGAGGTTTCCATGCTGAGCCATGCTGGCTCAGGAATTCTGGGAGTTGAAGTCCACGAGTCATAAAAGAGCCGAGGTTCCCCACCCCTGTTCTAGGCCAACCTGACTTTCAGTTATCAAAAAAATTCAGAAAGAATACGGCTGTTTCTGTGACAATAAAGATCCAAAGAGTTTAAGCGGCGTTTTTTTTTAAGGTATGGCTTTGGAAATTGGACATTGAGAAAGGGCAAAAGTTGTTAAGTGAGTCACACCGTTGTTAAGTGAATTTGGCTTCCATGTTGACTTTGCCTGTCGGAAGGTTGCAAATGACGATCCCACAACCCAGGGACACTGCAACCGTCATAAGTGCATGCCAGTTGCCGAGCATCTGAATTTTGATCCCACCACCACAGGGATGCTACAATGGTTGTGTGGAAAACAATCATAAATCATGTTTTCCAGTGTCATTGTACCTTCAGTTGTAGGTTGTCAATTGAGGACTATGTGTATCTAAAAGCAGACCTGAAGCTGGTCTCCGATTCTCTCCCTTTCCTGAATATTTTAAGAAAGCAGATCACGGAGTACTCTCTCTCTCTCTCTTTCTCTCTCTCTCTCTCTCTCTCTCTCTCTCTCTCTCTCTCTCTCCCTCCCTCCCTCCCTCTCTCTCTCTCTCTCTCTTTTTCTGATGTGTTCTTCTGTTCCAGGTGCATTCGTCACCGAAGCGATTGGGGGGCCCTTATTTTAGTTGATGACCGTTTTGGAAAGAACCCCAGTAAATACACAGCTGGTAAGATATCGTGTTTATTCGTGGGATACATGTCGGCAAGGCACGGGGTAACATGCGCTCATCCGAATTCATTTTTCAGGGGTGTCAGCAGGGATGTTCCCAACAAACGGGTCAGAAAACTCAAGGTGGCAATCACACCCAGGTGATTAAAAACTCTGCCCCCTTTTTAAATTAGGTGGCCGTCTTGCCTTTTTGTTTAATCACCACTCCCATCAACCTGTGAATGCTCCAACACTAGAAGTTTTTAAGAAGAGACTGGACAGCCATTTGTCTGAAATGGTATAGGGTTTCCTGCCTGAGCAGGGGGGTTGGACTAGATGACTTCCAAGATCCCTTCCAACTTTAGCATTATTAGTATTATTAGTATTCATCACACAGTCAGCCAGATGTTCAGACTGGATTTGGCATTTTTGTCTACCTATCGAGTCCTTCCCAAGGACCTGGGATAGGCAGATGTGGATGTTTGATGGTATTACAGGTATCGTCGCAGGATGGAAGCTGTTCCTAGTAAGGCCGCCTTTTGCAATTGACTAATAGCGAATTTGTCAATGCCAATGGTGTCCAAGTGGTGCTCCAGCTGTTTTGGGATTGCACCCAAGGCGCCTATGACTATTGGTACTACCCTTGCTTGCTTTTGCCACAGTCTTTCTATTTCTATTTGTAGGTCTTTGTATTTTGTTATCTTCTCTAGTTCTTTCTTGTCTATTCTGCTGTCTCCACGTCCACTATCCAGACTTTTTTGTCATTATTATTATTACCCCCAAAAGGATGACCTTGCCAACTGTTGTTACTGCTATCAGGAAACGGACTTTGTAGTCCATGTAGTCCTCGCCTCAACAACCGTAATTATGCCTGTAACTATGGCTGTCAGTTGTGGCAGTCATTAAGTGGATCATCACATGACCGAGCTGATTTTATGATTTTTTTTTCCGCTGGGCTCCTTCCGTGAATCACCACTGGTTTCTGGCAAAAAAAAAAAAAAAAACCCAACCCCCATATATTACGGTCACATGACTGCATGCTGCAAATGGACGTAAATGCAGGCTGGTTGCCAAGTGCCCAAAATGTGATCAGATGACCACGAGGGGTGGGGGGGGGTGAGGGACAGCCATTGGATCTTCAAATCTAGGTCGTAAGTACCATTTTGGGGGTCCATCATAGTGGCTAAGCAGCCAGTTGTAGGTCACGGACTACCTGTATGCATTTGGTAATCCTGGCTGATAAATCACTCACAACTATAATAATAATAATACTAAAGTTGGAAGGGACCTTGGAGGTCATCTAGTCCAACCTCCTGGTCAGACAGGAAACCGTATACCATTTCAGACAAATGGCTGTCGTGTCTCTTCTTAAAAACTTCCAGTGTTGGAGCATTCACAGGTTGTTCCACTCATTAATTGTCCTCACTGTCTGGAAATTTCTCCTTAGTTCTAGGTTGCTTCTCTCCTTGGTTAGTTTCCATCCGTTGCTTCTTGTCCTGCCTTCAGGCGCTTTGGAGAATAGCTTGACTCCCTCTTCTTTGGGGCAGCCCCTGAGATACAACTAGCTATTCAAAGTATTATTTTTTTTTTTAAAAAAAAAAATAGATATAAAAGTGAAGAAAGCTATACAGGTAGTCCTCTACTTACAACCACAATTGAGCCCAAATTTTTTACTGGTGAGTGAGACAGCTGTTAACTGAGCTTTGTCCCATTTTATGACCTTTTTGCCACAATTGTGAAGTAAATCATTGCAGTTGTTGAGTTAGTCACACAGTTGTTCAGTGAATCCAGCTTCCCCCATTGACTTTGCTTGTCAGAAGGTCGCAAAAGGAGATCACATGACACACACACACCCCGCCGGGTACACTGCAAGTGTCATAAAAACGAGCCAGTTGACAAACATCCAAATTTTGATCAGGTGACCCTGGGAATGCTGCAATGGCCGTAAGGGGGAAAAACTCCTAAGTTGAATATTTTATTTATTTTATTTTATTTATGAGACTTATATACCGCTTTAAGTGCAAGCACTCTCTAAGCGGTGTACACCAGTAAGCAATGTATATATATATTTACATATATTTATTTATATATATATATTTAGAATGGAATGGAATAGAATAGAATAGAATAGAATAGAATAGAGAATAGAATAGAGAATAGAATAGAATAGAATAGAATAGAATAGAATAGAATAGAATAGAATAGAATAGAATAGAATAGAGCTGGAAGGGAACTTGAAGGTCTTCTAGTCCAGCCCTCTGCTCAAGCAGGAGAACCTATACCATCTCAGACAGGTGACTGTCCAGTCTTTTCTTAAAAATCTCCAGTGATGGAGCGCCTACGATTTCTGGAGGTAAGCTGTTCCACTGGTTAATTGTCCTCACTTTCAGGAAGTTTCTCCTTAACTCCAGGTTGTTTCTCTCTTTGGTCAGTTTCCATCCATTGTTTCTCGTCCTTCCCTCTGGTGCTTTGGAGGGAAGGACGAGAAACGATGGGGCTTCTTTGTGGCAGCCCCTCAAATACTGGAAGACTGCTATCATGTCTCCCCTATTTCTTCTTTTTTTTAGACTAGCCAAACCCAAGTCCTGCAGCCATTCTTCGTATGTTTTAGTCTCCAGGTCTTGGATCATCTTAGTTGCTCTTCTCTGAACTTTTTCCAAACTCTCAACATCTTTTTTTCACTGAAAGTTACTTCTTTCAGTGCCGTTGTAACTTTGAACGGTCACTTAACAAATAGTTGTAAGTCGAGGACTACATGTATACTGCTCTATACTTAAGGTGACCAACCGTCCTCCTTTAGGGAGGACGGTCCTCCTTTTGTAAGTTCTGTCCTCCCTCAAAAAGTGTCCTCCTACATGTCCTCCTTTTCGATATTTGAAGACTAATCTGCAGGGCTTTTTTTTTTCCCTCATAGAACGCTCAGAACGGCACCTTTTTTTGATGGTTTTTTTTTTTTCAACTTTTGCATGAGCTCTGCTACTCCCCCTATTGGCTTTCAAAAGCCAATAGGAATTGCTGCTGAGCGCGCCAAAACACCAGGCTGGCAAACTTTGCACGTGCAAGTTGTCTGTATTATTGTTGCAATGAATAAAATGTTTCTTTTATTTACGATATTTTTTTCTTCAATTTATTTGTGTCCTCCTTTTCATTGTAAAAAAAATGGTCACTTTACTATACTGAACTGGTGAGACCACACTTGGAATGCTGCATCAAATTCTGCTCACTACAGTATAAAAAAGTTGCTGAAACTCTAGAAAGAGAACAGAGAAGAGCAACAAAGATGATTAGGGGACTGGAGGCTAAAACATATAAGGAACAGTTGGTGGAATTGGGAATGTCTAGTTCAATGAAGAGAAGGACAAGGGGGGACATGATAGCAGTGTTCCAGTATCTCAGGGGCTGCCCCAAAGAAGAGCGAGTCAAGCTATTCTCCAAAGCACCTGAAGGCAGGACAAGAAGCAACGGATGGAAACTGATCAAGGAGAGAAGCAACCTAGAACTAAGGAAAAAATTCCTGTCAGTGAGGACAATTAACCAGTGGGACAACCTTCCTCCAGAAGCTGTGGGTGCTCCAACATTGGAGATTTTTAAGAAGAGATTGGACAGCCATCTGTCTGAAATGGTATACAGCAGGGTTAGGCAACCTTGGCTCTTTTATGACTTGTGGAGTTCAATTCCCAGAATTCCTGAGCCGGCATGGCTCAGCTTGGAAACCTCTCCCTTTCTCCTCAGCATGGCTGGCTCAGGAGTTCTGGGAGTTGAAGTCCACGAGTAGTAAAAGAACCAAGGTTGCCTACTACTGATCTAGGCCAGGGGTAGGCAACCTTGGCTCTTTTATGACTCGTGGACTTCAACTCCCAGAATTCCTGACCCAGCATGGCTCAGCTTGGAAACCTCTCCCTTTCTCCTCAGCCTGGCTGGCTCAGGAATTCTGGGAGCTGAAGTCCACGAGTCATAAAAGAGCCAAGGTTGCCTACCCCTGGTATAGGATCTCCTGCTCCAGCAGGGGTTTGGACTAGAAGACCTTTCTAGCTTCGTTATTCTGTAATCTTAATTCTTTATTTGGCCTTCCTCAGCCATTTTGTAAAATTGATAAAAGCCCACACTGCCCTCGTGGTGACAGTAGGTGGTGCTCCGTTTCCACGACATGAACCGCTTGGGCCATGTCACCGAAGGGCGTAAAATGAAAGGATGACAGTGACTCTCATTAAAATCTCTTTCACAGTAATTTTAGATGCAATGAGTGGTGGGTGGGGTTTTTCGTTTCGTTTTGTTTTGTTTTCCTTTGCAATTTAGTATTTGCTATAATGGTATTTTTTTTTCCCCCTTCACCTCTTTCTTGTTGAAACAAGACCCATTAAATCAGAGAAGGCACTAAATATTTATGAATTAATTATATTCAAAAGGAAATCTAAGACGCTTTAAAAGGTATCACTTACTGGCGCCTGTTTCACAGGTGTGGGGAACCTGTCGCCATCCCAGTATTGTTCCTCTTCAACTCCCAGTAACTCATCCAGTGTGGCCAACAGCCAGGGCGAGAGAGAGAGAAAAAAAAGATGGAAATTATAATCCCACATGTGGAATGTCTCACGTTCCTTCTCCCCTCTCCTTTGCCTTGTGCGTACATGTCTGTACACACACAAACACACGCAATGTACACAAGGACATTGATCCCACGCAATTTTCACGCTAAATTTTTTGGCTGAGGGAGCATTCTCTATTGTGTAATTATTTCTGTTTTTATTTTACCCTGCTATCCTGGCAGGTTGTCAGAAGAGAGATTTTAGTTTTTCAGAATAAACCTGCAGGATTCATCGTACAGGTAGTCCTTGACTTACAGCCAATCATTTAGGGGCCATTTGAAGTTGCAACGGCACTGAAAAAAGTGACTTCAGACTTACGACCAGCACCCCCATGATCAGATGATCAAAATTTGGGCACTTGGCAATTGTCACGTATTTATGAGAGCTGCACTGTCCCAGGCTCATGTGATCATCACATGTAAACTTCCCAGCTGGCTTCCGACAAGCCAAGTCAATGGGGGAAGCCAGATTCGGTTAACGACTACACGATTCACTGAATAACTGCAATCTTGCACCAACCACAACTTCTGGAGGCAAATCCTTCCATAGATTAATTGTTCTCACTGTCAGGAAATTTCTTGCTTCTCCTCTTGATTAATTTCCATCCATTGCTTCTTGTCCTACCCTCTGGTGCTTTGGAGAATAGGTTGAGCCTCTCTTTTCTGTGGTAACGCACAAGGAGGGCGGGGGGCTGGTGTGCTATAGTCCCTGGGGTCACAAAGAGTCGGAAACAACTTCGTGTCTGAACAACAACAACAAACGAAACCGGGATCACAAAGCTAGACCTGTTAGAACAGTGGTTCTCAACCTGTGGGTCGGGACCCCATTTGGGGTCAAATGACCATTTCACGGGGGTCGCCAAACAATGCAGTCCGCCATTTTCCCCCCCTTTTCCTTAGCTGTGCTACTCCCTTTTATTCTATTGGCTTTTGAAAGCCAATAGAATAGACTCTCTTGAATAGAGTCTAATTCTATTGGCTTTCAAAAGCCAATAGGAATTGTCCAGGCTGTCTCTGTCCTGCTGAGCCCGCCAAAAGTCCCATTCTGCAAACGGTGCTGCACCAGTTGAGTAATCCTCGACTTACGACCGGTTGAGTAGTCCTCGACTTACGACCAGTTGGGGGGTCGCGGCATTAAAAAGGTTGAGAACCACTGCGTTAGAACCAAGCCAGTTGGATCCAATTCATTGTAACGATTATACCTCCAAAACAATTTTTTTTGCTGAGTGTTCAGTCCAGATTGTACAATCTCACAAAACGGCAAAAGGCTGAGAATAGCCAGGGATTCTGCACGTAGCAATTGTGGCCAAAAAACAAAACAAAACAAAACAAAGTTGTTTAAAATGGGGCAAAGCTCACTTCTTGCTTAGCAGTGAAAACCTGGGGCTCAGTTGTGGCCATAAGTCAGAGGACTCCTTGTACACCAGCAAAATAAAAAAAAGGAGGATCGTGAATGTCTTACGTAGCAGTTGAGGTTTATTCTTTGCTTAATTCAAACATTTGCTCTTAAAAGTTCGGCTCTTGGACTCGACCGAGGCTGAAAGATTATCATTGCTCTTCGCTGCGCAGACAGAGGACGTTGTCTCCCCTCCACATCTATGAAAAGCAGCCTTGGACGGTTGCTCTTTCCGTCACATCTCTGAAACACTTCTTCCCAGCTGCCTCTGTCTTGCCTTGGCAGGAGAACAAGCAGCCCAATTGCGCATCAGCAGATTCCTTTAATTTCCCAAGGTGTCCTTGAGTGAACAGTTGAGGACTTAAGGACAAGGGAGAACCTTTCCAGAATTTTTCTTCTCCCTGACCCTGGAGAAGTGGGAGAGGAAAGGAATGTGGCAAATTAAAAAAAAAATGAGCCTTGAGCTATTAGGGAGACATAATAATGGTGCTTTTTTAAAAAAAATAGAACATGAATCCTTCTGCTGCTTTGCGAGATCATACATTTTTTTAAAAAAAAAATTAGAACTTGAATCCTGGAGTTATCCTCAACCTTCTTCTGTTTTCTGAGATTGTATGACTTGGGCTGAAAATTCAGCAAAAATTTGTTTTAGAGACATAATCGTTACAACGAATTGGATCCAACTTATTTGGTTCTAATGGGTTTAGGTTTCTGAGCCCAGTTTCATTTGTTGTTCGGTTGCTAAGTCACATCTGACTCTTTGCAACCCCTTGGACACCAGCAAATCCCCCCCCCCCTTGTCGGGCTGCCCCAAAGAAGAGGGAGTCAAGCTATTCTCCAAAGCACCTGAAGGCAGAACAAGAAGCAATGAATGGAAACTAATCAAAGAGAGAAGCAACCTAGAACTAAGGAGAAATTTCCTGACAGTGAGGACAATTAATCAGTGGAACGATTTGTCTCCAGAAGTTGTGGATGCTACAGCAGAAGTACAGCAGTAGAAGGCTTGAGTCAACCTTGCTGTTCAGGGTCTAAATCCTAGCAGTGGGCAGAGTCAGCCTACAATACTGCATTTTAACCATTGCGCCACCGTGAGAAGGAAGGAAGGCCTGGAGATTAAAACATACAAAGAATGGCTGCAGGACTTGGGTTTGGCTGGTCTAAAGAAAAGAAGAAATAGGGGTGACATGACAGCAGTATTCCAGTATCTGAGGGGCTGCCCCAAAGAAGAGGGAGTCTATTCTCCAAGGCACCAGAGGGCAGGACAAGAAACAATGGTTGGAAACCAACCAAAGAGAGAAGCAATCTGGAATTAAGGAGAAAGTTCCTGACATTGAGGATAATCAACCAGTGGAACAACTTGCCTTGAGAAATCATGGGCGCTCCATCACTGGAGATTTTTAAGAAGAGGCTAGACAGTCACGCTGGCTGAGGAATTCTGGGAATTGAAGTCCACAAGTCATAAAAGGGCCAAGTTTGAAGACCCCTGGTACAATGTATAATTATAATGTAATTGTGATGTAATAATGATTCATTTCTAATTCATTATATCATTTCCCCAGGGTTATCTAAATGGATTCGGCAGCAGATCCAGCACTACAAAGACTTCGATTGCGCCCTCAGCGCTTTGGACGCATTTGCTAAAATGAACCAGAATGGCGCTGGAGCTGCACTTCTGGATAACAACAGCTCTCTTCTCAAGTCTACAAGTCCAAAGACTCTGACACCCCTTTTTCCTCCAGAGGAACCTCTTTCTTTATCCCCAGGAGCTCTTGGTGAAAAGGAAGCACAAGATTCAGCTCTGGAAACAGGTGCTGCAGACCGCATCACAACTCACCCAATCACATCCGGTTAGTCGTGGGATCTTTTGTCAGAGTAAAGTTAACCTTGCTAAGATTTTTTTTAAAAACAACAACAAATGCTTTAGTTCTGCTTCTTTCTGGACAGCCTTATGAGTATGACCAGTGTCCAAAGGATACTAGGAGCTGTTTTTTCATCCCAAGCCATCCATCAGGAACCCTGGGGACCTGAAAAGCAAAATTTTAAGTGTGGCTAAAAACTGTTTGAGATGGTCAAGTCTCATAAGATTGCAGGAATCTCACCTCGGAGGTCTTGGGCAATCTTGTCATCTCATGCAGTTTTTTTTTTTTTTTTGTACAGCGGTTTTGGAAACTTTTTTTTTTTTGTCTGAAATCTCCTTGTCAGAAATCATTTAAGGCAGAGGTGTCTGGCAATGCGAGAAAAAAGTTGTGATATGTCATGTGATGCGGTGAGTTTTGATACTTGTGATTTAAGGACTCCTGCAAGAAAACGGAAATTTCATGAGATGATGTTGTCAACATGGTAGGTAGGTAGGTGGAAGGAAGGAAGGAAGGGAGGGAGGGAGGGAAGGAAGGAAGGAAGGAAGGAAGGAAGGAAGGAAGGAAGGAAGGAAGGAAGGAAGGAAGGAAGGAAGGAAGGAAGGAATCAGTGGATGAGTGAGTTGGTAAGTTCAAGGGGGAGAGGGCAGGAGGAAGGAAGTTGGAATGAACGAACCAAGGATGGGTAGAGGGAAAGAAAGAAATTGAAGAAAGAAGGAGGGAAGGAAAGAAAAAATGAGAATGGAAGGCAAAAGACTAGAGAAGAGGAGGATGGAAGGAGGAAGGAAGGAAGGAAGAAAAGAGAAATATGGGCGGAAGGAAGAAGAAGGAAGGAAGAAAAGAAAAATACGGATGGAAGGAAGAGGAAGGAAGGAAAATAAGGATGGATGGAAGGAAAATAAGTGTGGATGGAAGGAAGGAAGGAAGAGTTTATTTTGTTTTTCAGGAGAGTCCCATCACCTGAGCTTGGCTGGGCAGATTTAGGGGCAGGAAGGTGCTTTGAAGCCTATGATGGTATTCACACGGCCCCTCTGCAGCTCTTTAAAGTAGCCGCGTCTATTCCTGGGATTGTGCAGCCGCCTTCTGTAGCTGCACTGTAATCCCAGGAAAATACCCATTGGATTCTGAAGCATCATCCTGAGCTGGTGGAGAGCAAAGAGCTGCCAACTCTAAAGAAAGTCCCCAAAAAACAAGCCCTGGGCCTGTAGGGATGTGTTGGGCCACCCACAGGGCTCCCTTTGTTCCCGAGTGGAAAGAAGGGATTAAACCCATCTTAACAAGATGTTCCACAGCAGTTCCTCCCCATACTTAGTTGTATATACACTGAAGGCAGGAGGTTCCATTACGGCATGTCAATCTGCTTGCTTGAAAACTAGTCACTGTCTACAAAGACTGGAGTTAAGTTCCGGAGGATGGAAAGCCATCAACGGGGCTGGTTGGTTTTGCTAATACAGAAGAACAAGCTGTGGGTAATGTTGATCCAATGCTGGGCACAGGGTGGAATTCCTTTACAACATTAACATTGTTAATGTTGTGACCTTCCTTCCTCCCTTCCATCTCCCTCTTTTTTCCTTCCTTCTTTCCTTCCTTCTTTCCTTCCTTCCTTCCTTCCTTCCTTCCTTCCTTCCTTCCTTTGAGTAAGTTCTTAGAGTTCTTAGAGTAAATGGAAATTAACTTTCTTTGAGTCAGCCAAACTTGCCAGAGACAATCTGTAAAGTATTGTTTCTCCTTCCTTCCTTCCTTCCTTCCTTCCTTCCTTCCTTCCTTCCTTCCTTCCTTCCTTCCTTCCTTCCTTCCTTCCTTCCTTCCTTCTTCCCTCCCTTCCTCCCTCCCTCCCTCCTCCCTCCCTCCTCCTTTTCCCTTACTTACAGTATTCCATGGACACGTGACCACAATTTACATTTTTTTTTTGCTGGGAACTGATGTTTTCTTCCAGTTTCTGGCAAAAGACGTCCCATGCAGACAATTGCTTCGCTTAACAACGATTGCGTTGGCATAACAACTGCTGCATTCACTTTGTTTTGTTTTGTTTTTTATTTGTTGGACTTTTGTGTTTCAACTTTTTTCTTTTTAAATAAAATAGAAAGTTTAGAAAAATAAATAAGTAAATAAATAAATCAGGATGGGATATAAATCTATTCTTTAATCAATGATCCTGAAAGCCAAGCACTGATGGTATGCTAATGACAAGAATTAATCATCTCTTCTTCTGTGTCTTTTCCTTATTATCTGCTCTTCCTCCCCCCAGATTCTCCATCTTATCAGGCCATAAAACAAAATACATTTACAGACTCCAGCCCCAAAGCTTCACCTGTTGAAAACAGGAGGGGAAAAGCGAACGGTCAGTTCTCTGCCGTCAGCATAAAAAGTTGCTTCACCAAAATGCTGAATTCAACGCCAACGGTAAAGAAGAATTACGTCTTCAAGGCTACCGGACGAACAGAAAGAGCACTAGAGGAAAAGAGTCCATCTGTTGCCTGTGGACCTCAGTGGAATACATTCTGGGTTGAAGAAGACCAACCAATAAGACAATTGACAGACGGGAAAATGATTAGCAGTTCCCCGCGAACAAAGATTGGCTCGATGACTGAGAAATGTCCCCATGAAAGCCAGCAGACTGGACATAAAGACATGGAGGAGGTAGAGTCTTCTCCAAGGAGAGCAAACATAGAACTTTCCAGGTCAGACCTAGGTGTCGAAACTGACGCAGGAGATGACAGGCTGTGTTTTACGCCTGAACTGTATGATGACGAAGAGTTGGTGGAAGAGAACAATGAAGGCTCGATTCACAATTATAACAGTACTTTGACTTCCTTTGAAACTGAAAACGCTGTTCTGGTGGAAAAACTTTGTCCACCCAACGCTCAGAAGCCCGGAGATGCCACCTCCAGGTTTAAAGGTGAAGCAGGAGCGGACACAGAGTGGTGGGGGATCATGGAAGACAATCAGAATAACAAACATGCCATTGAGGCAGCTGGGCATAATGTTGGCCTAGAGGAGGAGGCAAAGGATAAGAAAAACCAGCTTCCTGGATCACAGATCAAAGGTGTGTCTTGCACTCGGTTCACTTAAGCAGTAAAAGTCAGGCTTGAGAAAAATAGGGTCAACTGTTTCTAGTTAAGGTCAGGAACCGATTCAGGAGAATCCGTTTTTCAGAAAACCGGAGGGACATTCGTACTTCGGGGACATCTGCCTTCATGGAAAAAGTTGACTCGGAATGGAGATTGACCAACCATGTCCAAATATGTTCCACCTCTCCTCCCGTTCTCTTCTGCAACATTACAGACGACAGGAAGATGTGATGCGGTACTTTTATCCATGTTCCTGTCTCTACAAGTGTTGACGAATGAAAGGGAGCATCCACCAAGATGACTGGTGTTTCCAACCAGTCACGGATTGGACCCATTCTTATTACAGAACATTGCAGTGAAAGCAGAGGAGATGTAGGAGAAGGACCAGAGTCAAGAGAGGAACAAGCCTGGAGGCCATTTGTGGGAATGTCAGGACTCCAGGCTAGTTCCTCTCTTGACTCCGCTCCCTGTCTCTGCCTGTCCTTCTCCTAAAAAAGGCTGAACCATTCCTTTCAGAATAGATCCAACCTATGATGGACAACAATTAGTGTAGTCTTGTGAGAATAGAGATGTCAAAAGGACAGGAGAAACCACTTGGGTCTTGGGTTCTTCTGCTGCAAATGGATTGTCCCATCTTTGTTTTATTATTATGTCTCGCCAGCCTATTTGTAGAAGGAATCAGGTTTATATGAAGAAGCCAGTGAGATCATTTCCAAATAAATGTAATAAGGTCTACTTCACTCATTATTATTTTTTTCTTGGGGTAAAGAGGAAATGTTGAGGTTATGTGAGTGTAATTTGATTTATTGATCAAATAAATCAAATCTTTGCAATGCTTGCAAAGAGATCCATTATTGAATTAGGTTAGTAGCTACCAGCTTAGGAAGACTGATCAAAACCATGTTGGTTTGCTGAAATTTTGGAGACTACGTTTCCATTCCCTCTCCTTCGGCCTTTTTAAACAATCACGTGACCTTCACAGTGTGCCTACCATGAACTGGGAAAGCTAAACCAAACCAAGTAGCTTTTTTTTTTTACAGCAAATATGCAATTCTACACTTTTATGTGACATTATTCACCATCAGAATGGGCAAAACAGATATTATGGCATAAGCGGGTAGCAAGCATTAAATATCTTTTCATGAGCCTATGATCAACATATTTTTTTTATTATGAAGAAGTCTGCAGGCTTTATTTTGCTAGGAAAATATATAGCATGAATCAGTGCTGTGCTTCTTCAACAGGACTTTATTTAGTTTTCTGCATAATGACTTGATTTGTGTCAAATATAAATGCATCTTCAAATATTTTGGGGAGTCAAATCAAGTCTCAGGCACCGGAGCACGTTTAATTAAAGATGTAAGTCTGAGACCTTATAAGTGATGGCCAAAATTTGTGGCACATCAAGGCTGATGAGATCATTAGAAATTAATCTTATAATTGGGAACACCACTTCATATCCATTGGTTCTCTTGTAATGTCCATTTCTTCTAAATAGAACAGTTTGTAAGGAACATATCATAAGAACTTATAAACCCATTAGTAGCAATTTTAGAATAGCTTATTAACTGTGGTATAATTCCCCCCCCCCTTTTTTTTCTCTCTCTCTCTCTCTCTCTCCCAAACCCATCTTCCTTTCTTTCAATCTGTTTGGGACAAACATTTTTCTTAATCATTAATCATTTTCTTAATCATTGTCAAATAAATCATCGTGGCGTGTTAGATATTGACCCACGAGCCTCATCATTTTTCATTTGCCTCTTTGTGAAACACATACTACGATGGAGTAATTAAAGGAAAGCTTCTAAAGCATTAGAATAAAGTTGTCTTAAATAATATGTTGTCATTTGAATATAAGCAAGGGAGGATTTGGGGTTTGTCATAACTAGAAAAAAAAATTAATTGAATCCTGAATCTATTGAAGGGCTGAAAGTACAGAGAAGGTATAAACGAAGAGCCAGGAGGCCATCTAATAACAGAGAGGCACGCCAATAACAGGTAACCTTAAAGAATGTGTAGATTGAAGAGTATGAGTGGTAATATGGGTTATCCAGTGAGGTCCATGTTGTATGAAACCTTCAGGTCCCATTAAATAAAGATCTTAATAGATAATGTAAGATAACATCCATTACTAGACCCTTTCTGATGTTCATGAATTTCAAGATTGAACAATGGCTAGAAACATCTTCCTTCTGCATTGTTCAAGGCCAAACAGAAGAAGACAAGGAGATGGGATGCTATGAGCTTGGTAGACCCATCATGCAAGATCTTCTCATATGACTTCCTTCCAGACATCTTGAGAAGAAACGAGTCTTTAGTTCATGCTGAGTCGTGCCAATGTGGACAACGTCCCAGTAATATTTAAGTGCTGAAGACAATTTTCAAATTCCTTTTTCAACAACAGCATACGGCTAACCTAGGAAGGGGCACCCACCATTGCTACACCCATTGGCAACTACTTCCTCTGGGTTCTGTCATGTAGGACAGTCATCTAGTCTTGGTTTCAAAATGGGGCCCTTGCAGTGCAGGGCGAGAATTTCCTCACTGGCTTTTCCTGCAAGATTGAGGTTCTCACAGAGGTAAGCAGAGAATGGCATTGGAGGACATAATTAAAGATAGGAATTCTATGATTCTTCCTGGACTTTCACTGCCGTTCCACTGAGATGACTCTCAAAGTCAACCCACGTTCATTGTGCAGCAAGCTGGGAATCAATCTCTATAGCTTCCTAAGGGCATCCACAGGGATGTCCAACCTTGGCCACTGTAAGATTTGTGGACTTCAACTCCCAGAATTCCATACTGGCTGGGGAATTCTGGGAGTTGAAGTCCACAAGTCTTAAAGTTGCTAGGATTGGATCCCCCTGGTTTAAAAAATCAGGATGGTAAATGGAACCACGTAAGTTTTTTTTAATATGTGTCATTTAAAAAGAGCCGAGGTGGCGCAGCAGTTAGAGTGCAGTACTGCAGGCCACTTTAGCTGACTGTGTTCAGCAGGTCAGCGGTTCAAATCTCACCGGCTCAAGGTTGACTCAGCCTTCCATCCTTCCGGGGTAGGTAAATGAGGACCCAGATTGTTGGGGGCAATGTAAATATATATATACATTGCTTACTGGTGTACACCGCTTAGAGAGTGCTTGCACTTAAAGCGGTATATAAGTCTCAAAAATAAATAAATAATAAATAAATAAATTTGTGTAACACACCTAAAAAGGAGCAAGACCAGACAGTTGCAGCCACCACCTTGACTTTTTCACCCCTCGGTGGTCATACCTGTCTTCATCCCCAGGTCTTCAGGATGGACAGACTACCTGCTTCTTAGCATTTGTGAAAGCCTTAAACAAGCAGATGTTTGAATAAGATTGTAATTGCTGGTAATTTTGTATACGCGCATGCACCTATGTATTTTACTTTTGGTTGATGCTAAAGATCTATGACACTTCGGAAGTTGGTGGAATAAAAAGTCTGCATTTTTAAAAAATGAAATCTTGTTGGTTTCCCCCAAAAGTCTAAGCATAAAGAATATGGTGGTAGTAGTAGTAGTAGTAATAGTAGTAGTAGTAGTAGTAGTAGTAGTAGTAGTAGTAAAGTTGGAAGGGACCTTGGAGGTCATCTAGTCCAACCCCCTGCTCAGGCAGGAAACCCTATACCATTTCGGACAAATGGCTGTCCATCTCTTCTTAAAAACTTCTAGTGTTGGAGCATTCACCGTTTCTGGAGGCAGGTTGTTCCGCTGGTTAATTGTTCTAACTGTCAGGAAGTTTCTTCTTAGTTCTAGGTTGCTTCTCTCTTTAGTTAGTTTCCACCCATTGCTTCTTGTCCTGCCTTCAGGCGCTTTGGAAAATTGCTTGACTCCCTCTTCTTTGGGGCAGCCCCTGAGATATTGGAACACTGCTATCATGTCCCCCCTCGTCCTTCTCTTCATTAAACTAGACATACCCAATTCCAGCAACCGTTCCTTATATGCTTTAGCCTCCAGTCCCCTAATCATCTTTGTTGCTCTTCTCTGTACTCTTTCTAGAGTCTCAACATCTTTTTTACATCGTGGTGACCAAAACTGGATTCAGTATTCCAAGTGTGGCCTTACCAAGGCATTGTAAAATGGTATTAATACTTCACGTGATCTTGATTCTATCCCTCTGTTAATGCAGCCCAGCACTGTGTTGGCCTTTTTGGCAGCTGCAGCACACTGCTGGCTCATATTTAAGTGATTGTCCACTAGGACTCCAAGATCCCTCTCACAGTTACTACTATTGAGCAAGGTACCCCCTATACTCTACCTGTGCATTTGGTTTTTCTTGCCTAAATGTAGAACCTTACTTTTTTCACCACTGAATTTCATTTTGTTAGATAGCGCCCAGTTTTAACGTCTGTCCAGGTCCTCCTGTATCTTAAGCCTGTGTTCTGGAGTGTTGGCTATTCCTGCCAGCTTGGCGTCGTCTGCAAATTTGATGAGTTCCCCATCTATCCCCTCGTCCAAATCGTTGATGAAGATGTTGAAGAGCACTGGGCCCAGAACCGAGCCCTGGGGCACCCCACTACACACTTCCCTCCATGTAGATGCGGTTCCATTGAGGACCACACGCTGAGTACGGCCGGTCAGCCAGCTATGGATCCATCTGGTGGTGATGCTGTCTAACCCTCATTTTTCTACCTTGTCAAGTAGAAGGTTGTGTTCTACTTTATCAAATGCCTTACTGAAGTCCAAGTAAATTATGTCCACAGCATTCCTCTGATCCACTAATTTTGTCACTTGGTCCAAGAATGCAATAAGATTTGTCTGGCATGATCTATTTTTGGCAAACCCATGTTGGCTTTTAGTGACGACTTTGTTTGCCTCTAGGTTTTTTGTTTGCCCTGTCAAGTTGCTTATTGCTTGATATAATTCAACAGTTCTACTTATTGCTTGATGTAATTCCCCCAGTCCTAAGAATTATCTCTAGATCCTTTTTAGAACTATGGTCATTAAATGAACAGTTGCCGGGCTACAGAAACCAGGCAAGCTGGAATGTAGACTCAGATCAACTTATTCCTCTTAAATTAGATTCCAAGAGTTTTTCTTCTGCCTTGGAGCTTTGATGATTCCATGTGCTGGCGGAACAGAAGCAGAGGCATCCTTTCATTTCCAGATGTCTGTTTCTAATGCCATCACCTGTATTTTCATCCTCTTTTTCACTTGTTCTGCGTATCACTTTGCAGCGCTTTACTCTTAAACATTGTGGGAAATGCTTTCAATTAAAAACAAATATTTGGCAGGCTGGCTTCTGTATAAGGATTCTCTATCTTATCTGATCAGTTTTTCCACTATCTCCTCGGCTGCTTCCCATCTAATTCCATCAGACTATCTGTCTAATCTATCATCTATTTATTAGCCATATCTATCTGTCATTTTCTATCTATTTTCTATCTATCTATCTCTCGTCTGTCATTTATCCATCAGCTATATCATCTATTATCTATATTTGTCAGATATATCTCTATTTATTTATTTATTTAATTTATTTATATGCCGCCCAATCCCAAAGGACTCAGGGCGGCGTACAAAATTAAAACAATCATTGAGAATAAAACAATAAAATAATTCAATCATACCGCAAGTCCGATCATGTCCCCCCCCCCCGGGGACATCAGCCCCAGGCCTGCCGGAACAGGAGAGTTTTATTTATTTATTTATTTACAAATATTTATATGCCGCCCAATCCCAAAGGACTCAGGGCGGCGTACAAAATTAAAAACAGTCGTAAAACAATAAAATAATCCAATAAAATAATCCAGTCATACTGCGAGTCCGATCATATCCCGCCCCCCCGCCCCCGGGGACATCAGCCCCAGGCCTGCCGGAACAGGAGAGTTTTAACGGCTTTCTTAAAGGCCGGCAGGGTGGGAGTAGTTCGCACCTCGGGGGGAAGTTGATTCCACCAGGTCGGAGCCACCACAGAAAAGGCCCTTCCCCGGGGGCCCGCCAGCCGACATTGTCTGGCCGACGGGACCCGAAGTAGGCCTAATCTATGGGACCTCACCGGTCTCTGGGAGCTGTGCGGCACAATGCGGTCCTGTAGGTAACCTGGCCCTATGCCATGAAGGGCTTTGAAGTTGATGACCAACACCTTGAATTGCGTCCGGAGACCCACAGGAAGCCAGTGTAGCTCGCAGAGGATAGATGACACGTGGGCGTACCTTGGCGCGCCCACAATCGCTCTCGCAGCTGCATTCTGAACCAACTGCAGCCTCCGAACGCTCTTCAAGGGTAGCCCCATGTAGAGCGCATTACAGTAATCCAGTCTTGAGGTGACGAGGGCATGAGTGACTGTGAGTAAAGCCTCTTGGTCCAGATAAGGCCGCAACTGGTGCACCAGGCGAACCTGGGCAAAGGTCCCCCTGGCCACAGCCAATAGATGTTGTTCCAAATTTAGCTGTGAGTCCAGGAGGACACCCAAGTTGCGTGCCTGCACTGAGGGAGGTAAATTTGCCCCCCCCCAGGACTAATGATGGACCATCCAGTTGACCTTTGGGAGGCAAGACCCAGAGCCACTCGGTCTTGTCAGGGTTGCGTCTAAGCCTGTTCACCCCCATCCAGACCCTCACATCTTCCAGGCACCGGCACATCACATCGACTGCTTCACTGAAAGGACACGGGGTGGAGATATATAATTGGGTATCATCCGCGTACTGATGATACCTCACCCCGTGTCGCCGAATGATCTCACCCAGTGGTTTCATGTAGATGTTAAAAAGGAGGGGGGATAGGACCGAGCCCTGAGGCACCCCATGATCGAGGCGCCTAGGGTCGATCTCTGTCCGCCCGCCAACACCGACTGCAACCTGTCAGAGAGGTAGGAGGAGAACCACCGCAATACGGTGCCGCCCACCCCCACCTCTCCGAGACAACGCAGAAGGATACCATGGTCGATGGTATCGAAAGCTGCTGAGAGGTCAAGAAGCACCAGGATAGAGGAGTGACCCCTATCCTGGGCTCGCCAGAGGTCATCGGTCAGTGCGACCAAAGCAGTCTCAGTGCTGTAGCCGGGCCTGAAACCAGATTGAAAAGGGTCCAGATAATTAGTTTCATCCAAGGATCACAAGAGTTGGGACGCCACCACCTTCTCTACAACCTTCCCCACAAAGGGGAGGTTGGAGACAGGACGAAATTTCTTCAAAACAGCTGGGTCCAGGGAAGGCTTCTTGAGGAGGGGCCTCACCACCGCTTCCTTTAAAGGTTGCGGGAAAGACCCCTCCATCAAGGAGGCATAGATTATTGCCTGGAGCCAGCCTCGTGTCACCTCCCTACTGGCAGAAACCAGCCAGGAGGGGCACGGGTCCAATAAACAGGTGGCGGCATTCTTTGCCCTCACGGCCTTGTCCACTTCATCAGAGGTCACAGGCTCAAACTCGCTCCAGATAACATGACTAAGACCAGCCCCCGGCAACTCGGCTGGCACTGCCCAGTCGGAGTCCAGGTCTCTCTGAATCTGAGCGATTTTGTCCAAGAGAAACTGAACAAACTCCTCAGCTCTCCCCTGCAGGGGTTCCTCCGCCTCCTCCACTTTAAGAAGGGAGCGGGTCACCCTAAACAGGGCGGCTGGGCGAGATTCTGCGGACGCAATAAGTGCGGAAAAGTGAACACGCTTTGCCGCCCTTATCGCCACTAAATAAGTCCTAAGATAGGCTCTTAATAGTGATCACTATATCAGTGGTTCTCAACCTGTGGGTCGGGACCCCATTTGGGGTTGAACGACCATTTCACGGGGGTCGCCAAACAACGCAGTCCGCCA